ACTGAATAGAAACGGCTACGACAACAACATAAACGTACTGTATATATCAGGTTTCTCACTTTCAAAGAATTAGAGCGAATTTCATTAAAAAGAGAAGTTAAAAAAATAAAATATATAAAAAAAGTACAGCTAGTATGCTTTCCATCAAATAAATCGCTTAACATGCCTACATAAATCGTTTACAGTATCAATTGTATAAGACGATTTGCTTATTTTCACTTGTGATCGTTACTGATTACTGATGAATAATTCACAAAAACGATTTATTGATACTTTAGCAAATAACTTGAAGAAGACTTAAAAATAGGTAAGTATGTGTGAAAATTAAGCTGAACATTTTACAGTTTTAAGAGTAGGTACTTACGTACCTCTGTAAGCGAATATTTTGGACTCACCAGCAGTAGTTTTAGTTAATGGTTGTTTAAGGAAGCCATAAATTATCCTTTTGAGGCCAAACAGTTACATATTTGCACACAATGAGCGTTCCACAACAGAAACTTCATAAAACAGCGTAGGCGTTAATTGAATTAAAAAAAAATTACCTAATTCAGAGTTGCGGTTCCTTTACTGATAAAAGCTGGCAACAACATACGGTTCACTACTTTTCAAAAAAAAGGGTTTCTATGTCCATTCTCCATCTTCATTATTTTATGTAGTGTATGTATAAAATTAAACTATAGCAGGAAATCAAATAATTTAATTGCTGTCAATTGGTTCAGCTCTGTAGATGTTAATAATCATTTATGTACTTAAATGTTAATTTGACTGTCTTAATAACACATATAATAAAGTTTCAAACATATTAATTAATCAAGAATTAAATGCTTAATTTATTTAAAACACATTTATCAAGCACCTTCACCAACGTCCCAAACCACATTAAGTCCTGTTCAAAAAGACATTTAAACACTAAACCAATGAAACTTTAATTCTTGGTTCGCGAATTTTCAACGACGGGGTTCAGTTAAATCCGTTAAACGCCAAAAATGTGCAGTGGTAAAATCATACTAATAATCTATCGTTAATCAAAACCTGATCTACAACTAGCGATAGAAATTGTAACAGTTCGGTCTTACTGACATATTCTTGTTTAAGTTAAAAAGTAAACACAAGAACTATATCGAAATAAATCTATCCCAATATAATATTAATTACAAATTTTCATTAGGTAGGTTTTTGTTATACTTATTAAATTATGATTGCTGATGTTAATTTTGTTCTTTTTTGTCTAATAGAATTACCCGACATACAAAATAACAACATATTTATCTGAAGTTACATAAAGTATTAGCAATATTGCTTTTTTCCGTTGATTTCTGATCAGTAATTATTTGAAAAAAGAAAAAATAATTATAAAACAATCCAAAGTGCAAAAATTGTACTGTTTAGGTAAATCTTAAAATACGTATGGAAAATTATTATCGTCCAGTTTTATGAAAGTAGTATGATAATTAAGTAGTAAAATTTGACTTAGGGTTATTCAATTTTATTAGAGGTCATTGATTATCCCTGATTTATGATCACATCAAAACAACAAAAAGTAAATATTTGTGAGAAAAATCTTCACTTACGATTAGATAAAAGCGAGACAAAAACACTCAGTTTGCAATAATGCATTATAGTGAGAGAAGATGGAAAAAAGAATAGCAAGGTGAAGTGCACATATTAACTTATCTGTACTATCTACATCCAGCAATAAAACGAAATTAGCCAATTAAAAAAAATCAACAGAATAAAACAAGTAGGTACTGCGTTAATTTTTCACCCCATACGCATCTGGACTATAATTTTTTGCTGAAAGATGATAATTTTACCCAATTTAGTCCAACCTCGAGTTGATCCACGAACAAACAACGATTAGTACATAGCGTATCTGAGCTGTAATTTATACCTAATTTGTCGCTGAAAGTGAGTATTTCTACCTATTTAGTAGCGAGTCCAACCTCTAGTTAATCCACGAACAAATAAGTAGTACACAACGTATCTAGGGCTGTAATTTGTAGCTAATTTGTCGCTGAAAGATAGTACTTTTGTCTATTAAGTCCAACCTCGAGTTGATCCACGAAAAACGATTAGTACATTGTGTATCTGAACTTTAATTTGTAGCTAATTTTTCGCTGAAAGATGGTACTTTAGCCAATTTTGTCGCGAGTCAAACCTCGAGTTGATACACAAAAAACGATTAGTACATAGCGTTTCCTAAATAATAGTGTGACCATAATTTGTGGCTCATTTATCAATATTTTTCTACGATATTTCTATTTCGAGATAGAGGCTGTGTGTAGTGCTAGCTTACGGGTTTCTAGTCTTATCAGGCTAGCATTTCGTCTTTTTTGTAATAGCTGCCAGGAACAACAAATTTTTGAATGTAATTGCAAATTAGCGATAAATTATAGTACATATGTACAACTAGTTTTAATAATTTAACAATGAATCAACATTTTTATTTTTGATTCAGTTTGTTTTCAACGAATCCAGTAAATGACATTTTAGAATTTGGATTTTCAAAATGTACTAACTGGTTTCGGTTTTATTTTATTTTTATGCGGAAATCACAAGTCACATTCGAAGTAATTGATTCATTTAGTTTGAACGAAACACATTTTCCTGATTCAAAAAAACAAAAAACGTTGACATGACAATATAAATAAATTTAAATATAAATAAAGGTATTTATAAAAATGTTCCAAATTCATCATATCATCGTCATCAGTAGTGAGACCTCCACTTATTCCTATCCTAAGTTAATCTTCGCATTTCCCTAAAACTAGAACATCCCACATTCTTAACTATTTGTGAACAGTAATCTAATCTATGTAGGTCTATCTCTACTCTTCTTAACTTCTGTTTCTGCTTCTAATATGTAATTAAAATGCAATTAGTTATACATATTTAGTATTAACTAACTTTTTTATGCTGTAACTCCTTAAGCTGAATGATTCAAAATTACAATGGATTATTATAAAAAGATTTATTTGCGTCTTTTAAATCCATCCATCAGTTTCCATAAATCATAAATAAAGTCCTATATAATTAATAATGTCTTTCAATTAATAATATATCGATTCCTAAAAAGCAAATTTATTACCAACTGTGGTAAGTACCGCCTGGAATAAAATATTCGCATTATGTTTTAAATGGAAATTATTTTCCTTCTACTTAACAACAGACGATAATACACAAATAAATGATCAAATGATCACATAAACAAAAACAATTATTAATGATAATGCTGTCACAATGCAATGGTGCATGTGTCCTATATTATTTTCAAATACTTACTGAATGAAAAATAATTGCTGTGAAACAGTTAAAAAGTCAATGTTTGTTGAGACGTTTTACATTTTTATAAGGCGTGTTAACCCTATTATTTATTCATTTATTAATTTATTTATTTATTATTTATTATTCACTAATACAAAAAAACAATTTGTTTTCTTTCCGGTCACCATACTATTTACTCATTGTTTATTTATAAAAATGCTCGTTTCCTAAAACTTCTAAAAATATCCTAGGCTACGACCTTACAACAATAGAACGTTTGTTTCAATAGTTGGAAAAAGAATATGTAAAATAAAAACAAAAAATAAATTTACGAAACAGTAATCGATAGCAACAAGGATACATTATCTGTCAAAACCTAATCCCAATATATTTCTTTATACATTCCCTAAACGTTTAATATTTAATATTTTTAAAAAACATTAACGTAAAGAATTAGTACATATAATCAATCACGATAATTGGTAACTTTTGATGTTTCTTTCGTATGATAAGATAATATAAAATTCATCAACAGAATTGCATGTAAATTAATAATTAAATTAATAGCATTCTAATTTTTTTTACCGATAATGTCAACACAAAATTGGCAACAAAGTTATTTAAGCAAACATGGTTAAAAATTATTTTACTTAGGTATATACTCGATATCGATTATTTTTTAATTTTCTTTTATCACAATATTAATAGATCATAACAATAGTTTTTGGAATCAACTTGACGAAAATCTATAATCAAAGACAAACACAAAGAGATTTTCGCCAATTTTAAGTAACATGTGTAGCCAAACATTGGTTTCTTCATACGTGGGTAGAAAATCTGAAGTGTAACCTAATTCGTTAATAAGGGCTAACAATTGGATGTGATGATATAATTTAGCGAAAATCATATTCTTGATTTTTGCCATAATCAGAACAACAAAATAACAGTAGAAACAAACACATTATTTTAAAAAGTTTAAAAGGTCTCTATTTTACTTTTTGTATTCCCAGTCGAAAGCATCTTTTAAAACAGATCGATATTTAACTTTTGAAATAGGAAATCATTTTATATTTTACATCTAAAATGTAGCAGAAATTTTCAAATAAAGCTTACAAATGGCAGCGATAGTAAAGTTTGCCGAAACATGTTATTACAATGTAACAATGAAATTATGAAAATATAATTTCTCATCTAGGTTCATAGGTAATTTATTTTTATATTTCTCATATGCAATACAAATTTAAAATCAATTAACTGATAAGTACGAATAATATAATTGACTTTATGTGAAATGTGCCGAAGTATGAATACTTATAAATAACCAATTGAGTTCGTACCTACGATTAGACAAAAATTAAGAGATAACGTATTAAGTTTACCAAAAGGCAAATTATCTAATCTACGTGTAGAATAGTTACATGAAAAAATTATTTGTTTTACTAATTAATTTTTATTATTTTTTGATGTGTAAGACAAGAATTTTACAAAAGCTCAGAAACAGACTTATAAAATTAGCAAACAGTTAATTGGTACAGGTACCTAATCTATTGCATTTAAAAGCATTATTTTCTCGTATAATTTCCTCATAAATGTTGAATACAACCAAAATAAACGAGAAAAATCAACTCTAAAAGGTCTTTTCTATGCGTGATATTTCATAATAAATTCAGTTTTATATGAAATTTAAATCAATAATTGGAATAAAAATAATCAAAAATGAAATTAGAAAGACTTACATTGAAGAATTTACCAAATTCAGTAACTCCACAGGAGACGTAGGGACTTTCCTAATAATAATCTTCTTCCCATCTGTAGACCCCATTCCAATCGATGTTAACGATCTTATTGACATTCTATCAGAGGGTTTGGAGAAAACACTGTCGTTATCACTACCCGGTCTTTCGCAATAGGATCTAGCCATCGTCCCATCGAGTTTTAACGATTTCGAACTGTTCAAATGTCTAAGACCACCGTTGAACCCGCTATTAGAACCCTGCGTACCGGAAGATATGTAATAATTACTCCTATTGCTGAAATTGGGATTCGTATTATTCCGAATTAACAAGGGCGTTCCAGGTACCGAATACGAGCTGGCTTTCTGGATACAAGGCACACTTTTCTTAGACATATCGGTCAATCGATTTTTTTCACACTCACGTCTTTTATAAACATCGGATTCAACCTCGGAATCACTGTAATTTTTGCACAACTCAGACGTTTGGTTATTTGCATAAACCGTCCTATCAAAAATCGGTTCGACGGATCGCGAATCAGACGACAAAGCCACGAATTCCATCGGAGTTGTTGGAACGCTATCAGAAGTCTCGTCTTTTTCGAAAAGAGGCGACGCATTGCGAAAATCGTGTAAGGGAGGTCGCTGTTTTTGATTTCTTTCAACACTGTTATCACTCAAAGGCGTTACTCGAATTATTTTTCCTTTCGGATGTGAAGTTCCATTTTTCGAGACGTCTGCCATCCTATTTCGAAAATCGTTGTTCTCCTGACTTGAAACGGAGACTCTGTGAACTTTGTTGTTTGAATTAGTTTGCGTTCGCACTTGCTGCTGCTTCGTCAACTTTCTGTTTCCTGATTCTTTACTATCAGTCTGCCTGTCAGCGTTTTTAGGGACTACAGTCTTTGCGTGTTGCTGTATTTTTGGTACGTTAATTTGGCAAATATCTCCATTTTGCTTCGAATAGTTGGCATCTGAATTTATCTGTGCATTCCTGCTGTTACTTGAAAGTGTTTCTTCTTCGGAATCGGAATCGGAATTGTGCAATATGAAACGAACGTTTGTCAATGGACAATTTGCTCCTTCCATAACTTGAAATTAAGCCAGTTGTGCACCTACAATTTTCCACTTTACATTCATTAATTTAATAACCCACATCGCATCTACAACAAGCCCCAGTCAACGATAACAATATACTGTGCTACAAGCGCCAACCGATATGCATTTTTATGTTAAAACATCTAGAAATGATTATAGTTGTGAGCTGAGAATGAAAATATTATCTGTTTAAGGAGAGAGAGAAAGAAAGAATTATGACTACGTTTTTAGTGATATTTCAGGTACGAGTGTATGCTACCTAACTAAAACAAACATAAGTACAATCAACATTATAAACCAACGTCAACGAAGTGTGATATGACCAATTATTGTGAGCTTCTATTTGCAACATCACAACTAAATAGGAGCCAACATAATTCAAATAAAAATCGCTTACAGGTACATGGGACAATTAAATTGTTTTATGGACATTTATTCCATTAAACATAACTTCAGCAGGTACCAAATTAGGTGCCCATCTTCCCAAATAATTGTGATTTAAAGACACTCAAGTTTTCGCGTAATTAAATAACGAAATAATCATTTTCTACTTAATTATTTAATATTTTCTCGATTCTTTAAATAAATCCTATAAATAAATGATTGTTTCAATTTCAATAATAAACAAGATTACATTCTGACATCAGAAAGAAATTACCTATAAAATAATTTTCTGATGGATTTAGCAGGAAATTACATTAATAAAATAGAAAAATAATCTACGAAAATATTTATCGTCACAATATATCTGATAATACTTTGTATGTACATGGGAACCGACTTAAAAGAAAACTTTTAAAGTCGAAGTCAATATTGAAAAATTGAAGCTTCAGAAAACGAAGTGACGTGAAGTTCATTAATTAAAAAAAAGGATAAAAAACTTACACCAACTGAACGAATTAGATTTCATGCAGCAATAGAAAAGAAATATTGTATCTATGCGGTTACCTGATGTAAGTAGTTGCCTTTGGGCAGAAAGCTCCTTGAAATTTTTATGATTCAGTAAGAATTTTATTTTGTATCATATTGCGCTCGACGATCGTTTTAAACAAGGCACGTTGTTATACTTAGTGCAAATATCAAGGAGATCACAAAGTTCAACGACTTTAAAAATTCACACTGCTAAAACAATAACGCCGTCCCTAAATCATATGGTTGCACGGTTTTTGGAAACGGAATTTCACAGCATAAACCATCGTCAGCAACCTCGCGTTTTCCGACATTTTCAATCAAAATATGGTACGAATTCACAACCACTTCGTCACACCACATGCTAACACATTTATTTATTATTAAACATATGCACACTTGGGAACTCGTACGCCAATACAATTTATAGCGTATCACACAGTCACCGAATATTTAAAGTAGATAAAAATAAACTGCTCCTTTCAATAGGATTTTGTACAAATTTCCTCAGTCTGGCTGGATAGAAATTGCGAGGTAACTGATGGCTTGCTGATTGCAAGTGAAAACTATAAACGCGAATGTTTTTACTGGCGACTGGCGACGCTATTTCTCTTTTTATCAATGACTCAGCTGGATCATTGTGTTGTATAGCAACAGGTAAAACAAAACGTAAAACTATTGGAATAATTTATCATTTATTATTCGTCGAACAGCAGCTATAGCCGCAACACACACACTTTGGAAAGTCAGTCACAACTTGATACATTCATGCGTTACTAGTCGGAATTTTTTACATTTACTTCAATAAAATTATCAATAGGGTGACGATAGTACCACAAATGAAAATACCCAGTGTAAAACAATATCTTTACGTTTATACAATAGCAGAAACGAAAGTAATTTTCTTAGCTCCGCGTCAAAACTCAATATTGCAAAAGTTTTGATTGAAGTGCACTTGCTTTTAATAACACTTTTCTGATAAAGTTCTGGAAATGTATATAGATAAGAAAATTAAATAAACAACGTCTATCTACTACAAATACGTCTAACACCAAACAGTATCAAGTCAGAGCAGAGAGCAAGATGATTTTGAAACGTATCCGAGATACTTTCCCTATGTATGTTCAGTGATTTTCCATAATTTCGAAAATTTTAATTTTTTAACAAATTTCGTCAAAGTATGATAAAAAAGTCGATCCTGTATGTATGCTTTTTTACTTTAACCGAAAGATAGAAGGAAAAATTAAAATTGTTAAATTTGGATATAATAAAAACCAAGAGTCATTAAAAAAGTAAGCAAGAGAAAGAAAAATAATTTTAATTCCAAAACTACCAAAAACGTCTGAACAAAAATTACAATAATAAGTTCTTTTATCTGCTTACTTCCGCTTTTAACCGTTACTTTTTTCTTTGTACTTCCCCTAGCGCAGCGTGGTCTTTTTTTTTACTACCTGAAACATTAAATCGGAACTAAAAGTAAATAGTAAAAGCAATACACTAATATTAATATAGAATTCTTACACCACAAATTGAATATTTTATTACTACTTTGTTTTATTGAACCAACTTACTTTTCTAAAAATTAGTAGTCAAAAAACGAATTAAATTAATTAGAGTTTGTTCCGTTTTCTTATGAATAAATTTAGTTATGGAGCAAGGTTCTTCTTAAAAAGTTATTTACTAAACATTTAATTATTTTCAAAGACGTAAATAATTTTGGCTGATGTAAAATACTGTACATTTTATATAATTAAATAGAAATGAATTAAACAATCAAAGGAATTATCGAAAAGATGTTCAATAAATACCTATGTCTTTCTCAATTTTTCTGTTTAACCTTTGTAAATTATGTTATATAATAACAGTAATTACCTAAGTTTAGTATACTGATGTTCCTTAATCCAAATGTCACGGTTAATGGTCAATTTTTAAGTTACTAAATTTTATAACAGCACTTTTCATTTTTACTTCTTGGTTTTGCAATTTTAAT